ATTATCGGGAGGAGGAAGCTATGGACTGGCAGAACCTCCTCAGAGGACTGAGAAAGAGAGTGACAGATCTGTGAAGATTAACGAGCAAAAACCCACACAGGATTACAATTTGTTTCAACCCGCTTGTGGAGACTATCAGAGGTCACAAAGAGAAAAGAAAAATATATGAAAATAACAAGAAGAGATGTGGAAAATAACAAGAAAGGATTGGATAGAATTGTGAACACTATTTGGACAGATTTGTGGACATTAAAGCAGCAGCAACAACAAGATGATTGGATCCCTTTCGGAACTTGAAATATGGGTACCCCCAACAAAAAATTTAAAATTCGGCTTTGTAATTTGGAATTTATGTGATTTGATTTGATTTGATTTGATTGGTCTGTTAATAAAAATTATTAAAAAAAACAAAACAGTTGGGTGCCGTAAATGTGTTTCGATGAACACAACATCTCAGTCCTAGAATGCTGAAAGTTATTTAGACTTGAAGGAATGTCTCCACCCCCATCGTTCTGCCCGGACACGGAGGTCCAGTGCTGAGGGCCTTCTGGCGGTTCCCTCACTGTGAGAAGCAAAGCTATAGGGAACCAGGCAGAGGGCCTTCTTGGTAGTGGCACCCGCCCTGTGGAACGCCCTCCCACCAGATGTCAAAGAGAAGAACAACTACCAGACTTTTAGAAGACATCTGAAGGCAGCCCTGTTCAGGGAAGTTTTTAATGTGTGATATTTTGATGTATTTTTAATCTTTGTTGGAAGCCACCCAGAGTGGCTGGGGAAACCCAGCCAGATGGGCGGGGTACAAATAATAAATTATTGATATTGGAAAATTGCTAAAATGAAATTTAATGAAAATCAGTCAGGAAGGAAGTCACCTAAAATGGAATGAATTTGGATTTTTAACTGTAAAAAGTTTTGAGTGTATGTTTGTTTGTTTTTTATATATGTTTGTTATTTGTTTGTTATTTTGTGTTGTGTTGAAAATGGAAAATTAATAAAAACCATTTGAAAAAACTAATAAATTATTATTGTTATTGTTGTTATTATTATTATTATTATTATTATTATTATTTGTACTAGTGACAACAAAGAGAGAGAGAGAGAGAAAAGCTCCCTATACTTTCAGCATCAAAGTACATGCTTGGCATATAACCTTCTCCTCTTAGGTACAAATTCAGGAAACATATGGCACCTATCCACAGAAAGAAAAGAAGCGCTGTTGGTATCAAACAGGGAAGGGACATAAAGCTCAGGTGATTACACAGATCTGTGTGCATAGTACCACACACCTGGATTCATTCTTACCAATCTTAAGATGCAATCTGTTGCTGCAGACCAGGTGCTAGGAGTCTTTTCCCTTAGAGTTTAATTAAATGCTTCTAATGATTGCTAGACCAGCTTTGCCTTGATAATTTATAAAATCCTAAGGGAAAGGGGCGAAAGTCTGGGGATTCAGTAAATACTGGGAGGCATCAGGATACCAGGTACACACTTTTGCCAGAGTTCCTGATGCAATCCAAGTGACTTGGAAGTTAAGTGTCAAGGAAAGTATTTTTTAAAAAATCAATTTGCAATATATATTATTGATATATATTTATTTATGCTTTGTGTTGTTTATTCATTCATTTATTTTTAAAAACCTGTATATCACTTTTCCACGTGGACAGAAAATGCATGACAGGACAACAGTTTAAAAGCAATCAACCTAAAACACAAGAACATAACACAAGGAGCAGAGGAAAAAGAAGCAACTATCTAACTTTTAGAAGACATGTGAAGGCAGCCCTAGGGGAGTTTTTAATGTCTGGTGTTCTATTGTGCTTTTAATATTCTGTTGGGAGCCGCCCAGAGTGGCTGGGGAAACCCAGCCAGATAGGCAGGGTATAAATAATATTTTTTAAAATTATTATTATTATTATTATTATTATTATTATTACCAGAAACCTCAGAGAACCAGGCCAAAGACTTCCGCCAGGCCAAAGACTTTCTCAAATATCTATCTATCTATCTATCTATCTATCTATCTATCTATCTGTTTATCTATCTGCAGGATCAAGCCTCCAGATATCGTTGGATTGCATCAGTCCCTGTATCGACAATGGTCATGAATGATGAAATGTGCAGCCCATTAACATTTGAAGGGCAACAGGGAGACTGTTATTGCCTTAAAGCTAACAATCGGCACTTTGAACTAAGCCAAGATGAAGTTTGCATATGAGAGGATTCGAATGCTCTCAGGACCAGGCATACCAACCCAAATACTACCTCTTAACATGACCACAGCATACTACGATGGAAATTCATAAGGTTTAAGGCAATCTCCCATCTCCTGGGAACCTATCAAAACCCTACGTTTTCCAAGAGGTGACAAGTCTCAGATCCCAGAAGTGTAGGATGGACTCGGAATAAGTGCCCCTTATTTCCTCTATGGCAAAACAACAGTCCAACGGCAGTAGCTATGATTTCTCCCAAATGAATGTGAGAATGAATGGGAAGTGCAGGAAAGCGGTTATAAATAACTCTGTGCTTTGAAAAGAAAAAGAAAGCGGGGGGGGGGGGAATTCACCAGGGTAAATCAAACCAAGCTGAATTCTTTTACGTGTGTAAATTATGCAAATGTGCATGTTTGCTTATTTTGCATAATATATTCTGCCAGAGGCAAGGAACTAGGCATGGCACTGAAGCCTCACCCGGGACCATCAAAAAGCCTAAAGTTCTCATCTGGATTTAGAGATTCCACCAGGCACTGTTTTAAAATGTTCATTGCAACAATAAATTGGGGTGGGGAAAAAATTTGGGCTGAGGACTTCATGACATCAGTGGAAGGTGGTTGGAACAGCATTTCAGTAGCAGATGAGACCAGAACCACAAACAAAACCACACATCGATAACACAGAGACACACACAATGACTATATCTCACTCACGCACACAACCACAAACCTATTTACCATGGAAACAGAGGCACGCATTAAATTCTAAGCAACCCCACACATTTCACTGACTATATTTTCTATAGACTTGTTTTTACACAAAATGTGTAAAGTTATTTATTTTTTTTTTAATTCCCCAATGCCCTCTATCAGTCCTGACACTGTGAAAGATTAAAAAAAATGTCACAGCAGAAGAGAGCAAATAACATTGATATGCAATTTGATGGCACACTCTGGCTTCTGCCTCTAAGAAACCTCAAACTTCAAAATGCAGTTGCATCCTGAAAACTGCATGAAAGACCTTTTGCATATTTGCAAGGAACACAAGTATGCCTCTCTGCTGAGCCACTGCCCTCCTCTGCTTTCATCTTCTTGCAGAGGAAGGAGATGCCATCACACATTTTGCACAACATCAAAGCCCTTGTCCCTCTCAGCTGGGGTGACTGGAAAGCAGTCTTTCCCAGCACACACAAGAGCGCCCCGTATGTCAATACAGTCTATTTTTCCACAGTGAGAGTGCCAGCATTGGGTAGAGTGTCAGACTTGGCAGGAACCCAGATTCAAATCCGAACTCTACCATGAAGTTCACTAGGCGGCACTGGGCCAGCTACCATCTCTCTGCCTAGCCTTCCTCACATAGCTGTTGTGGGGATTGAATGAGAGCAGAGAGAGAGTGGAAGCACAAACCCTACATGCTGCTGTGAGCTCCCTAAAGAGTGGGATCAACAGGTAACAAACTATCAAACACGCTCTCTCAAAATATGCTCCAGTCTGTGACCAAGATCCTAGAGGATGAGCGCAGTGTAAGATACAGGACATCTTCAGGCAAAATGTACATTCCAGAACCTGTAGAGCAGCCTTTCTCAACCTGTGGGTCCCCGGATGTTGCTGGACTACAACTCCCATCACCCCTAGCTAGCAAGGCCAGAGCTCAGGGATGATGGGACTTGTAGTCCAACAACCATCTGGGGACCCACAGATTGAGAACCGCTGCTGTAGCGCAAGCACTGCTGGACATATGGTAATCAGGACCATGGACAGTTCATTTAGCAGCGAAGTACTCATTCCATCGATGTTTCAGGGCCACCTAGATGTTCACTCAATAACGGGCTTGCAAACCTGGGGCTCTCCAGATGTTTCCTGACCAATGATTAAGGATGATGGGAGTTGGAGTCCAACAACAGCTGCAGAGTCGCAAGTTTGTCATATCTGGGTCAACATATAGCATGAAGCTTTCTCGTTTCCCTTAAATCATTACAGATGTGGAAAAGCCCAATTTTTATTGGGACTGCAGCACGCGGGGAGGGGAGGCTTATTTATTCACCCCCCCATGATAGAAATAGAGATATCACAGAGAGAGAGAGACCGGGCTGTACCCACCACCCCTGGCATGCTAGGAGCTTTTTCTAAGATTTCTAGTTGCACATGGGGGGGGTGTTTGAGAGCAATCAGGGTGGTGAAGACATAAGTTCCCCAGTAAGAATCAGACTCCCCCATACCTGCAATTATTTGAGGACAAACAAGGCATGTCGCTGCAAGTTTACAAATCTAAGTAAATGTCTAGTTTGGCCTGTAGCTCTAAGGTCCAAACTACATGTTAATAATAATAATATTTTTATTATTTATACTGCACCCATCTGGCTGGGTTTCCCCAGCAACCCCACAGGGACAGCTTTACATGGCAACTGCAGCAGCTGGAGATCTGGATCAGAACTTCCCTTCCAAAGCTAGCTGCAGCCATTATGTGTGTGTGTGTGTGTGTGTGTGTGTGAGAGAGAGAGAGAGAGAGAGAATGAATTCTGTTGGGACCATGACAAGAGAGGGAAGGGTTTCTTGCTCTCACAATCTGGATTACATCCCCCATCGCACTGTTAGTTGATTTAAACCATGGGTAGGCAAACTAAAGCCTGGGGACCGGATCCGGCCCAATCGCCTTCTCAATCTGGCCCGCAGATGGTCAGAGAACCAGCGTGTTTTTACATGAGTAGAATGTGTCCTTTTATTTAAAATGCATCTCTGGGTTATTTGTGGGGCACAGGAATTTATTTATTTATTTATTTATTTATTTTTCAAAATACAGTCCGGCCCCCCACAAGGCCTGAGGGGCAGTGGACCGGTCCCCTGCTGAAAAAGTTTGCTGAACCCTGACTTCGGGTCATTTAGTCCAGGAGAATAGTGGGAGACTGAGTATAGTGGTACCTCAGGTTAAGAACTTAATTCGTTCTGGAGGTCCGTTCTGTTTTTACATGAGTAGAATGTGTGCTTTTATTTAAAATGCATCTCTGGGTTATTTGTGGGGCACAGGAATTCATTCATTATTTTTTCCCCAAAATATAGTCCGGCCCCCCACAAGGTCCAAGGGACAGTGGACCGGCCCCTCCTGAAAAAGTTTGCTGACCCCTGATTTAAACTCTTACCTTAGCCCTAGCTCAGGGATAGTCAATGTGGGATCCTTCAGGTGTTGTTGGACTACAACTCCCATCAGTCCCAGCCAACGTGGCCAAGGACCAGGGATGATGGGCTTCGTTGCAGCACCAACTGGAAAGCATCAGGTTGGATACCCCTGTCCTGACTGTCAAGTTCAAACTCTGTTTCAGGGATTGAGTCCATTGCTGGTGCTTATTTAGTTCAACTCTCTGGCTCCTCCTTGTCCATACTGTAGTTTGGCTTGAAGATCAAGGCCTGGGTCATGACTTCTATACAGAAGCTGGTTTTTTAAAGGATACTGGATTCAGTATCCAGTGCTAGGCTATTTGCTTTTTCACTGCTTGCACAGAATATGCACAAAGCCCCTTTTGGAGAAAATTGCTATGGTTGCTTTCTTGAATCAGAGATGCTGCTGTTGCTGCTGCTGCTGCTGCTGTACTGTTAAAAGGAAACTGGAGAGAGAATGGGCATGCTGGATTCTGAAGGACACAAAATTTGATTTTCTACATCAGTATATTGACAATAAGAGCAAAAAGGAAATTAATCAACCACTTTTGCACTTGCTTTCGTTGATCACCGGGAGTCCTCAGACTCTCTTTTGAGATAAGCAAATCTAGATGGCAAAGCTTGTCATGTAATTCTTTCCTCGCTTAATTGGATTACTTCAGATTCAATTCTGCAAATCAATGGCCAAGATGCAAGCGCTGCAGACAGAACGACAACAACCTGCTATTCCACTTGGAGCTCAATTTGGCGGCTGCTTTCTCCACACGCTTCAAAAATGCACATGCTCCAAGAAATGCCTGAAATAAGTTAGGCACTGCAGAAAATGGGGCGTAGATTAATAGCCAAATATCACAAAAAGGGCTTTGAAGACGCATTTGTTAAAAAAGCACTGCACATACAGATGTTTAAGTCTTATAGAGGATCATCTAATTGACCAAAATTAATCTCATTACTGCTTCTCACACATACAGTCCTTTACTGCGATTTGGCTAGCAAAACACATGCAATTTTGCTAGCCAACTGCAAAAAATTAACTGGAGAATTGGGGATTACTGCTTCAAAAAAGGGGTTCTTTTTCATGGAAAATTCACTACATACACAATTTTGTTAGTATGAAATGAAACAGGTACAGACAAAGAACAAACTAGATAATGAATAACTTATTTATCAAGCAACAGCAGAAGTAAAAAAAAATAGCCTTTCTCTTAGAAATCTGACCCCCATAATGTTAGGGAACGTCAACAGCTTTAAAGGGGATTAGACAAATTCATGAAAGGTAGATTCATCAGCAGGTCTGAAGTTCCAGGTTGAGAGGACACATCCCACTGCATTCCAGTTGCTGGGTACAACAACAGGAGAGGACCCCAGACCTTATGCCGTGCCTGTGACCTTCTGATAAGTATCTCATTGGCAGCTGGGGGAAACAGGATCCTAGTCTAGTTGGGCACCTGATCTGATTCAGCAGAGCTCTTGTAATGCTTCCAAGTTTACATGTTGGCAATCAAAGGTATCTACAGTCTTCTGAGGGACAGCGGACTTGAGTTTTCATTGCTTTCTAATTATTTAGCAATCAACACCCATGACAGACAATCCTGAATATACTCGATAGAACATCTTCACGGGATCCAGATGTTGCTTCTTTTAATCAGGCATTTGTTCCTGAAATACTTACTGGGGGAAAAACATTTTGCATCTTTCTTTAACTAGGCCTTCAAATGTCTTATCGACCTTGCTGCCCACGTGACAGCTGAATCCGCATTCAAGGCCTTTTAAGAACTGTTGGACTAGCGCTCTCTCTGCGATTAACTTTCTATAAACTTCCTACTGTTAACGATCATGTTTTAAGCCCCGTGAGTCTGTGGTGTCTGGCAAGGGAACTGTGTGTCCTGGTGAAATGCCTGCTCCACTTCTAAGCCTCAGTATAACTCAAGGCTACTTACACATGGGAATGGTTTGTACCTTTTTGTGGGCACCTGGGTAAGCAGAAATGAAAAAGGTGTCTGCTATTACGTCAGGTGGAGCCTGTGTGCTCAGAGCACTTGCCCTTTGGAGGGATGCAATTAACATGCTGCAAGGCTCTGCAGCGTTACCCAGTGTGCACCACAACCAGTGTTTTACTTCCCTCCAGAGAGTAAATGGCAGCTATTAATATATAGGATAGCAAAAGGTACATATGAGCACACCAAAAGTTATGTGGGTGGGAGCTGAGCAGAGACCTTTCTTATCAGTGCTGCCCTAGTTATTATAATGCCTCCCCAAGCAGGTTTGGTTGGCACCAATCTATCGTTTTTCATTTAGCCAGGATTTTAAACGGGCGATTGCTGGCTGATGTGTTTCTTGTCAGCTGTGCCTGCCTTTATTACAATTTTTTAAAAGGCGGTTTTCTCTTGCTCCATCCTTCTAATTTTCCTATCATGTTTCATTGCATATTTTTGTGAACTGCTTTGGATATAAAGAAATATAACAAACAAACTGAACGATAACCAACATCATGCAAGCAAACATCTGATCCTACAATGAGACTTCCCCTCTTCTTTTCCCCGCTGCCCCCAAATCTGCTTCAAAGCACCCCCCCCCACCCTTCCAGGACAGATTTTGGAGGCACATGAGGCAACAGAAAAAGGGAAAGACTTTTTATATAAGCAGCTGGTGGGAAAACACAATTGGATCTCAATGCCATGAATGTAGACCAAGACTGAGTAGGGGCTGATGACCAGTGAACAAGGCAGTGGTACCAGTTTTCAATTAAAAAAATAAATTCATCTGGTCAACCACACAAAACAGTCACACATGCTCTGCAGACCAGGCTTGTAATCCAGTGTTTGGAGCAGCGCAATGATGGACTGTTCCTTGGGATGTTGCAGGAGTTTTCACCCAAAACAGTCTTACATCCAAAACTCTTACAACTTTCCTGCGTCTAGTTGTTCAGTCCTCCAGACCTCTTTCTCCATTTACTCTTCCAGAAGTTGCATGACAGGCCAGCTGATATCATGATTACAGGGCTCTCCAGACCTGACTATGCAGCCTCGGCCAATTCATGCCTTGTTAATTCATAACACCCAAGGAAGGTAGCTCACCTCTTGGTTTCTCAAAGGCAATGTCCTGTTTATCTGAGATAACTCTGCTCCTACTGCTGAAAGCTATTGATGGCTACTGATGGCGATCATCCATTCAAACATTCAGTCGTTCATTCAGCTTATGATTGATCACATTAAAAATGGTAATTTGTAATATACAGTCATATCTCGGGTTACAGACACTTCAGGTTGCGTTTTTTCAGGTTATGGACGTGCCAAAACCCAAAAGTACCGGAACAGGTTACTTCTGGGTTTCAGCGGCCGTGCATGCGCAGAAGCGCTAAATCACACTTTGCGCATAAGCCCCAAATCACAACCTGCGCGTGCGCAGATGCACTGCTGAGGGTTTTGAATGCTGCGGGTTGCGAACGTGCATCCTGCACAGATCACGTTCGCAACCCTAGTGTCCACTGTACTTGAGTATATTCACAGCATCTTCAGAGGTCAATTCTGCAAAATAATATCTGACTAATTATGCTGCCATCCGCCACCTAGTCTCTCTCTTCCACTGGAAGTCCCCAGAAACTGAGACTCAAGCCATAGCTCTGCCCTGGATTCTTCTTTTGGGCCACATGGGGATGGGATGGGATGTTGGGAGCAGGAAAAGATGGACAGGCAGATGTCCTAGCAAGGCCCCTACAGCCAAGTTACCCAAAGAATCCAGGGCTTCCCAATTCTTTTCATTCTAGAGATAACGTTAGCTTCAACCAGGCAGTGGCAGCAACGTGGTTTGTTGAAACGAATTCAACGAAGAGATTGCATAAATTTCAATAGCCAAGTATTTCCACACAAAAATCAGACAATTGGAAAGTAAAATGCAAATATGTCTTCTAGTCTGGGGCTTTAAATTATGACTGACAGTGAGTGGCACTCTTTATTTAGAAAGGGCCCAAGTCCAAACAGGAGTAAAATGATCCTAGAATAGCAGTCTTAAGGCCATCAATTGGAGCAACAGAACCATGGTTAATTCCATAGTAGAAGTATCCAACCTATTCAGATCTCCTGTTTCTAAAGACAAAATTCTCAGAATGAAAAATGTAAGAATGTTAGAACAGACTGCTGGATCACACCAAAGGCCCATCTAGTCCAGCATCTTCACAGTGGCCAACTGGATGCCTGTTGGTAGGTCATAAGCAGGATTTGAGTGCAACAGCACTCTTCCTTCCTACAGTTTCTAGCAAATGGTACTCAGAAGCAAACCGCCTCCAACAGTAGAGGTAGAAAATATCATTCAGGTGCCAACATTCTCATTGGTGTGGCAGGGAACTCTCATCAGACCCTGTCAGCATGGCCAATAGTCAGTGATGGAGATGTAGTTCAACAACATCTGGAACGCCATCTCTGAAATAATATTTACGGTTGAGCTCAGTTTCCTCTAAAAATCTGCAAAGGCACCAAACTATGCTGTTCATTGACTTTAGATAAAAGATGCACCTCAAATAAAATCTGCCGCAATGCCTTATACCTGGTGAAAGGATTGTTCCCTCATCATTTTCAGCATTAGCATTAATAAGTCAATCAATTCAGCAGTAGCTTAGCACAGAAATCAAGACACATGAAAAGACAATGGGATACTCTGGAATCTGAAAAGAAGAGAAGCAGAATTAAGGTGACAGCTCTGCAATTCAGGGATAATAGATACATTTCGAGGCGGGGAGAAATAAATACAAGGCATTTCATACCGTCAGCTTAAATGCACTTTGCGCTCATTAGTACAAATTCCTGTTGCAAGAATAGAACATCACTATTTTCAAGCTTTGGAGATTGAATATTAAGCGACAAGTCCACTTGCCTCTTAAAAGTAGTTCACATTTGTAGTTTGCATACTCAAATGCTGTCAATCACTCAACTCATGTGAATAATGAATACAGACATCTAAACATTGTTTTAGTATTTTTCAGTATTCAAACTCAATTGAAAAAGCATTAGACACCTGTGATGGGATGATGAGCTGCTTGTGCGTAAAATAGTATCCCCTCAGAGTTTGTTCAAGTCCACAAACCTCTGTCTGTGACGGAGCCCCTCAGACATGGCTCCTCTAGTCACTAGCAGATTCCGACAGTGGTTGCTTTCGGAATCGCTTCCAACATAAAAGCTCCTTAACGGAAACACGTCTTCTGGACTCTCTGCGTGACAGTTTCCGGCGAGGAGTGGGTATTCCTACAGGAGGTCCTGAAACCTCCCCACTGTTTTCGCTGGAAGTGTCTCTGAGCCATCCCTCCAGCTCACT